TGAGCACATCCCAATCCCTAACCCATTGATTTTAAAACCACGGCGTATCCCTTTCCCAAACCCAAGGCTCATCCAAACGTCACCTGGATTAACTCAACCGTGGCATCGCGAATTCGCGAGCTGTTATCTGGTCGATCTGGATTCGACGTTCGAGTGTGTCTGATCGGCGTTGCATTGGACATTGGTCACTACAGCCACGAGCCATGTGCGTGCAATGGGTCGGTCTATCGTTTGCGCAAACGTTTCTTGGTGTGACATGCCGGGGCCCGCGGACTCGAAGTCGCACCCCAACCTCTAGTACATGCGAGCGGCATTCTTTTACTAGAGAAAGGCCTACTTCATGCGACGGGACATGCATCGTGCATGGGCTAGATTTTGTCTTCGGAAAGGTAAGCGTGCAAGTTCTTTGTTAATACTTTAGGTCCAGGAAAAAAACAATTTTAATATGTTTTTAGGTAAAGTATCTGAAGTTTGATCAAATAATATATATTGATAGCGCCAAATGAATATTATATATCATGAAAGTATATCTTATGACAGATTTAATAATATTTATTCGAGATTATTTTTCTGAAACAAATATTTATTTGAGATTATAAATATTGATGTTTTTATATATAGTTAGTTAGTTAGTTAGTTAGTTAAATTTAAGATACTTAAATTGATACTATATTAGAATCGTATTTTTTATGGATGGAGAGGTTATTATAACATAACCCAGTTTCGATCTAACGTGCAATTAAGGCTGGATAACGAGCTGGCTCGGCTCGTTTCGGCTCGGCTCGTTAAGATAACGAGCTAGCTCGGCTCGTTAAAAGCTCGAGCTGGCTCGTTAAGCTCGCGAGCCAAGTATAAAAAATACACAAAATATAATATTTGCATTTATCTAAAGTTTGAGAATAATAATAATACAAAAGAAATGCATCTAACCACCTTAAATCGAATAAAAAATTAATATACGCTAATATATATACAAATATAATAAAATATTATAGTATTCATGCATCTAACAACCTTAAATGATACTTTTTTTTTCTGGAAGCTTGGCTCGTTTAGCTCGCGAGCAGCTCGCGAGCTGGCTCGAGTTGGCTCGTTATAGCTAACGATCTAAAATCTTGGCTCGGCTCGGCTCGTTATCTTAACGAGCCGAGCCGAGCCGAATCGAGCCAGCCACGAGCCGAGCGAGCTAACGAGCTTCGAGTTTTTCGTCCAGCCTTACGTGCAATCATCGTGATGCATCATATGCGTGCATGATACTGCCAACTAACACGATGGTTCACACATCCTTGCGAACGGCAATGGATTAGGTCCGGTGCATTTACCTCGTATAGGCATGGTTGAGGAACTCATAGAGTTGAACAACTATGTTCGTCTCAAAAAAAAAAGAGTTGAACAACTATGTCGTCTCCAATAGAAAAAAATTTGGTGCTACAGCACCGAAAAAAGAGTTGAACAACTATGTTCGTCTCAAAAAAAATTGTACTTGCTAGCGTCCGGATCGCATCCAGACGATGCCCGCACAGGGAGCCAGCGGGCACCTAGCGGGTCGAGTGAGCGCACCAGCAGTAGACCCACACCACCCTCTGGATGGCCGGACGTCACTCGCACCGCCCTAGATGTCATTCGCGTCGCCGGCCGCTTCCCACACGCATCCCACACTACTATAGAAAATCTTTTACGAGACGTTTTCAAAATGGCCTTGAGGCGGGCAGCCTGGTTGCCCGCCTCGGTTATTCGAGGCAGGCACTATAATCAAACCGCCTCGGTTAATATCGATTAACCGAGGTGGTTGTTTTAACGCAACCGCCTCCGTTAATATATTAACCGAGGCGGGCGCCTTAAAAAAGCTCCAGATGTAACAGTTGCAACGTAAAAAAAAAAGACAGAAAAACATTTGAAACAAGCGTATGAAACATTTGCGAAAACGCCTGAAAAACATTGCAAACACATGCAACATTCAGATGAAACACATGCAAACATACATATGAAACACCTGAAAACACTTGAAACATAAGCTTGCAACATGCATGTATATATGCAACATCTAGATCTACTTTGCGACAAGAAAGAACACTTGCAACATTTGTCTGAAACAGATGAAACATTTAGAACACACACTTGAAACATGCGTGTATAGCCATTGTAACATAGGCATCATCCTAATCTACTTTTGCAACATATGTATGAAACACTTGAAACCTACATCTGAAATAAGTGAAACACTTGAAATATTGGCTTGCAACGTGATTTCTTGCATCGTTGTCCTATTCTCCTCCTCACGCGCGACTCCCCTGGTGAGGTCGCGCCCCTCGTCCAGGCGTGGTCTCCTCCCCGGCACCCGTGCCTAGTTCATCGGTGCTCGTTCTTGTTCGTCGCGGATTGCATGGGCTAGTAACAACAATATAAGATTGTCCACTCCTCTCGCCAATCTGTGGTTGGGCTTGCGTGAACTATGATGAACCTTCAGTACGTACTCTGTCTCTTGACTGCTTGACTGGTCAATTAATCTCATTGACAGTGAAGTTTGGTACATGAAAATTTTTACTTGAAAATTAGCAGCACCGTTTGCATAAAGGATAGTGTGCATGCAAGAGTAATAACAAACTCCCGTTGTGGCGGACAGTACGAAGTGGAACGCTGGACACGATGTTGAAGCTACAAGAGTAGCTGTAATATACTTTGTCGAGCATCGGCACGTCAAAAAAAGAACATATTAAAAGATTACTACGCTGCTTTTTACTTTTAATCCCAAGTTGCGGCCGCCGTAAACCAAGCTGTGTTAATCTTAGGTGTCCTTTGGATTCGACGGAGATGGATTCTGTGAATTCAGCGTCCACTGTTGTCTACCCTCCGTCCCGAATAAGTGATTTTTTTACTTTTTAGACATCTAATTTTATCGTTCGCTCTATAAAATTAAGATGAATGGTCAAATTGGATGTCTGAAAGTAAAAAACGATATTGAGAGTAGGTCTCCAAGATTTTGAGATCTTTAAAATCTTTTTCTTGGATTTCAAAATCCGTTTCAGAATCTAATATTTTCCGATGAGATAGGATTTATTTTACCAGTCACTCCGTCAAATAAAAAAATGGACTGAGTAATAAAATCTAAAGCAATCCAAACGGGCCAGTTTAACGCTAGTGAAAGCTGCGCCTTCACCTCTGCTTTACCGCGCCGCACCTCCCGAGTTCAAATTCTCCCAGGTCCGACCAATGCTCACAGCGAAGTACTGTACCAGCGTGCTGCGTGTACATGTCACCGTCCCCCCTGCTTCCATCAAAAAGTTGGCAGCTTTGGTGGAGAACTAGGAGTCGTCTGCCGCTGGCCGCTGCGCTCAGCCTTTTGCCAACCATTTCAAATCTAAGGCACTGTTTAGATCTCACCCAAAATTCAAAATTTTTTAAGATTCTTTTATCACATCAAATTTTGCGGTACATGTATGGAGCATTAAATATAGATAAAAAAAATAACTAATTACACAGCTTGTCCGTAATTGACGAAACGAATCTTTTAAGCCTAAATAGTCCATAATTGAACAATTTTTACCAAATACAAATAAAAATGCTACATTAACCAAAACCAAAAAATTTTCGCATCTAAACGGGGCCTAACCAACGGTCGCGACACGACGAAGAGCAGCCACGGCCGGCGCAGGAGGACGCCAGGCACGCCGGACACACGCGTGAGAACCTGAGAGGAGAGCGCGCGGGGGCTCGGTCACGCGTCGCTGTTCCGCCACAGGCCGTGGCTCCGCTTTCCGCGACGCCGCGCGGCACAGGGCAGCAGCCAGCAGCGCGCACGCCGCCGCATTGGAATCGAGGGGGCGCCCTTGCCGCAGTCCCCAACGCCGCCCCCAATCCTGTCGCTCTCAGCCCTCACATGACATGCAGGCTAGCGCGGTGCGCAGTGGGAACGCGCTGCGCCCTGGCGCCCTGCACGCGCGCAGCTGCCAGCCGCCAGCCGCCGCACAGGCACAGGCGGCAGCGGGAGTGGAGGAGCAGGGCCGGCCGCGCGCGTGTGCGTGCGCTCGCTTTGCCTCCGCGGCCCGCACGGCATCGCCAAGGCTGCTCTTTTCCCTGTGGCCAAACACTCTCAAAACAGAAGTGCATGCATGACTGCACGAGCATTACCCCACCAACAATTTCACTCATGGCTTCAAAAAGGGTTGAAAAGAAAGACGGTAAAATCATGAGATGAGCACAAATCGTGTAAACCGGGGGGGGGCGTGAAATGGTGAAAGCTGCGCCTTGTACTAGATCTCTCACAAAATTATACTGGTACGGCATCCCGATACCTGGAAGGCTGGAATCTGACCGTTTGCTACTGGAAATGACTCGGCAGATGAGATCTACCTTGACACCCAAAGAATGGACAAAAAGTGCAGTTTGCTTATCAAAAGATTGGAAAAACCAAACCACTACTGCGAGTAGCCGAGTACGGGCCCGGCACAAGGGTTTCTTCCTCGTTCAATTGAACATGAATATCTGCTGTAAATTACTAACATGATATTGCTGTATTTTTACCTCTTTTATTTATCCGGCACCGTTAGTTCTGCATCATGAAGATACTCCTACGATGTGGAGGGTACATGACTTTCACTTGCTCGTTCATTGTTGGTTTCAAATGGTAAAATTTCAAACCAACAAAAATTAACAATATTTTTTTCATCAAAAATCAAGATCACCAAATTTAAACCAAAGACTAAAGACCACCAAATGAAGCCCTTTGCTTGCAACGTCAGTCAATGTAAGTAGCCGTTAGTAGTACTCCTACTGACTTAAAGTACAAGCATTTTAATTACATCCCCGCATGGACATGATTCGTGGGGTTAACTTTTCGTACAGTTTTTACTACTTGATTAAAGTACAAGTATTCTTTTCTTGTATAGTGAAAAAGTCAAGAAAAAGAGCAGCTTTTCTCTAATCTAAGAAAAGAAAATGGCAGCCACAGGTGGCAAGTGCCTCCAGCGGCGGGAGGTAGTCGGTCGGTCAGTCAGTCTCAGTCAGGGGCGCGCCCCCACCGACTGCGCGAGCCGCTCGACCTTGACGACGATCTCCGGCGGCACCCGCACGGCGGGGCGCGGCCGCTCCTTGCACCGGCGGAGGTCCAGCCCGAGCGCGTCTGACACGTCCTCGGAGCTCCACCCGGCGCGCCGGAGCGAGTCGGAGCACCGGTCGGCCTTGAGCAGCAGCGCGTCGAGCACCGCGTCTGAGTCCAAAGCGGCGGGGGCCGCCGCTGACGCCTCCTCGCCGTCGAACACCTCCCCGGAGGCCGCCACCTCGACCATCTCCGTCACCTCCGTGTCCCTCCACCCGCCCTGCCTAAGCACGTGGCCCAGCCGGTCAAGGTAGCTGTCCACCCAGTGCGGGTTCCTGGACCGCCGCCTGGCCGCCGCCGCCGGCGGCGACGCGCACCCGGAGGACCGCGACGACGCGGTGGACGCCTCCGAGGACGACGAGTCGCGGCGGCGGCGGTCGGACGCTGCGTCGCTCCAGAACTCGATCCACCGCGGCGCCTTGCCGCCGCAGGCCGCGTCGAGGCTGCGGCGCGTGCACGGCGTGGCGGCGGCGGCGTGCTGCTGCTGCGACAGCGGCGCCACCGACGGCGGCGGCGCTGACCGCGGGTCCAGCGGCTGGAAGCAGGCGTCGCGGGTGAAGAAGTGGAGGATGTCGAGGCCGACGCAGATAACGCGGTCGTCGGTGACGAAGAACACCGGGTTGCCCGCGAGGCAGGGGCGGCAGGGAAGGAAGCATCGGTAGAAGAGCGGGACGAGCAGCGGCGCGCGTCGGATGGCGGAGCGCGCGAGCCTTAGCGCGCGGTCCGGGTCGGCGGGGCGCGCGCCCCAGCATCGCGGCCACAGCGCTCCGCGCGCGATCTGCAGCGACGCCGCCGCGATGGGGAGGTCGAACGCGGAGCGGAGCCCGGAGCGGGAGCGCCAGTCGGGGAACCCGGGCCCCGACGGGAGGCCCGCGGCGAGGACGGCGCGGAGGTCGGGCGGGAACGCGAACCCCAGCTCGGCCTCGGCGTGCGCCAGCTCCAGCTCCGTGAGGCCCGGCAGCACGGCGGCCACCCCGGGGCAGGCCCGGAGGTGGTCCAGCAACGCGGCGGCCAGCGGGGCGAAGGAGTGCAGCCCGTGCTGCCGCGGGGAGGCGGACGCCGAGGAGGAAGGCCCCGCCGCGGCGCGCGTGGACAGGCGGCGCAGCCCCGCCGCGTGCGCCGCCGGGGTGAGGCTGAGGCCGGCCATCCGGCGGTCCACGTCCACCATTGCAGCCGCCGCCGCCGCCAAGCTGTTGCCTCCTGCCTTGGACAGAGGAGGAGGCGCGGAGATGAGCCGAGGTCTGCTTGGGTAACGACGACGGCCGGAGGAGCGAGTGAATGCGCTGCTGTAGCTAGAGGCCGGTTGGGAAACGGGGAGGCGGGATTTTATAGCGGTGAGGGCGGCCATTGCCCGTCGGCGTCCGGAAGGGGCGGGCGGGCGGGCCCCGCGGCAGAGATCTCTGGCTGGGTCACCGAGTAGGGCTGGGCTGTACGGGGAGGTGGGGGCAACGGCAACGCGAGGGGTGGTGTGCTGGTGTGTGGCGTCCATTCATCGTCGCTCTTGCGTTGGCGGCCTTGGCGTCTCTCGCTTCATTTTTTTTTTGTTCTCTCCGCCGATCCGCCCTCGCACGCAGGTCGTAACGAAAGGATGCGAGCGAAATTTGTCTGCGGATGGGTCACTTTCCGCTAGTATTTGCTCTCATCCTGCATTGCTGTTTGTTCTACCGCCGCCGGCCGCCCCCTGAATCGGATCCAATGTGTACGAATGCTACTTACACCGAATTTGTCTTCATATATATTTTCTGAATCGGAATAAGATATGAATAATATCGGGTACCAATACGAATATGAATTTGTCTCAGTTACAAGCACAAATAAATTTGTATCGAATATAGGAGAATGAGCCAGATTCGAACAATGTCAATCACCAATATTTCTTCGAATATTAAGTAAAGGCAACATTCATATATATCACATGCTTTTAATTCTTATTAAAGACACTTTAGTAAAATACCAAAATACTATAAATTCACATATTATAACACATTTTAGTCAATATGCTCAAACTATTGTTAAATTTAACAGTATTGCTATCTATTAACCAGTTAATTTAGGAGCTTGTATCAACTGATTTTTGGACCGTTCGTTGCCGTCGGCCGATGGCCCATGCCGCCCGATGCGTCCGCCATTGTTAGGTACTTAGGTGTATGCATCCATCATCCGTGCGCGCGTAATACGTGGCAAAAGTGGAGCAGCTTCCGCCATGCCTGCTGGCTGGGCACGTGCACGCAGGAGATCCGATCCAGGATACATCGCATGCAGTTCGTCATGCACGCTTCTCGCTATAGAAAAAATTGTAAATTTATAAGTTTGTGAAAAATTTGATGATATTTGTGAACAATTTGATATATATTTGTCTGATATCTGGAATCCATAGAAAAAAATTATAATATTTTTGAAAATTTTGGTATATATTTATGTTATTCTCAAATTATATCACTCTGTTCAATACATTACACTGAATAAATCATTGTAAATATAGCTAGAAGACGATGTAAGTGCATGGAAAAAATTCAGTAATGACAGGAGAGGCCAAAACAAATGAATGTCACCTAGACATATCCAAATTTAAAAGTCTCCGGCAAATAAAATTACATTAACTAGACATATGCATTCCCCAAATTTACTTTAAGTTTATTAAAATATTTTAGTGAAGTTAGTACTTCTATATACTACTTCATAAAAGGGGTAATAACTAAGACAACATATCAGGTGTAAACCAACTAACCTATGTAAACTTGGAAACTATTAATCACGACCACTAGATACTCATCCAATGGATGAGGTGAGAGGACTTAAGCGCAAAAAAAAAGGCCGGCGGGTGAGGGGATTAAGCGCAAAAAAATCATATCTCTCACCCCATCCATTGGATTAACATATAGTGATACTGATCGGTAGTTTGTAAGTTTGCACGGGCTAGTTGGTTTACACATGATACGTTGCCAATAACTATACTTCACTTATTCCCTTTAGACTGAAATTTATCTTGGCTTGCTGTCCATTCCAGTAGATATCTGATACATACAACTATCCGAATTTAATAACCGACTTAGCTATCCGAATTATCCGTCCTATTGGTTATCTAATGCATATATATTCATATTCGGTATCTGAGAAAATGTGTACATTAAAAAGAAAATTTGCTATCTCATCCTAACGGTCAAGAAAGGTCCATATCGTTTACGCCCTCCTATCCCAACAAATCTGTTTCCGCTGAAGTTCGTTGAGCATATTTGAATGCACCCTGTTCCTACGCCCAACGGCATATTTGCACGTGGTTGGCGCCTACGGCTGAGAGTTGGCTTGAATGTGCCTGGGCGGCTGAGAGACGCATCGTCATTGTTATTCTACTTTATTCATGCTTAGGCTTAGCCGTTGTTGAGTTGGCTGCGGATGGTCTTCTGCAGCACAACTCAACAGTTAAGGAAATTGGCAGGAAAATTGTTTCGCATCGACGAGAAGACGACGCCTTTTCTTCAGTCAGTGGCTCAGTGCACACTGTACTGTACGCCCGTGTGTGCAGTGGCCTATTTTCAAAGGAGATCTAACGTTGGCGAAAAGAGAGGTCTGACGTCTGGTATTAATTTTAGACCAGTGGAGCCTTTAAAACTTGACCGACGTTTAACATAGGACGGGAGAGTGGCCTACAACGCTCGCCCAAAGAAACGCATGAATCCTAATTAAGGTGATGCAAAGCTAGCATGAGTTCTCTTCATGACGGCTGTACGTTTTATTAGTATTTACACAAGTGATGCTCCTCTTGTTTATAATATAACAAAAAAAAAGTCTCTTTTATGGCTGCTGTTTTATATGCACTGCGCACGTTCCTCTTGTTTATAACGGGCACAGTTTGCTATCTGTGATGACTGGGCCAGGGCTCGACTGAATTTACCACGCAAGTGCTTGTGCTCAGTGCTGACACTCTTTTCAAACGTGCCATGATCTCTATCCATGGCTAGCTTTCGCTACTGGTAGAGTAGCAGAGATTCATGTCAAACTCAAACACCAGTAGGAAGAACCCTACCTCTACATGACCCGTTCGGCCTGGACAAGACCTGAAGACCGACACCTTCCCGGACTAGCTTATCATCAAGATGTATCACTCGATCAACTCGCTGACCCAGGTACCCGATGGCTGATGGCTGATGGCTGATGGGCACGGTGCACTGCTGCCTCGAGAAATTTTGCCGCAGGGGCTGAGGATGAGACAAGGAGGAGCTGCTCTGCCTGTGGCGACTGTGTCATCTCGCCAGCCAGAGCTAGCTTTCACTGCTGCATGCATTCCTCTCCCTGTGACGGCCCGAGCCGAGCCGAGAGGTCACCGTCCGTCGCCGCGCGCTGTCTGACTTCCGATGCCTAGGGGGTTGGTTAATTTGTCACGTTTTCTGCTGGTGTTATTATTGCTCCGTTGCTTGCGGCCGCAGCTGCTTGCATAGAACTCATGAATTGGACAGTGATTACTTAGTTGGACCTCGTTTTCAAATGGAGACTCTCTTCTTCGGTCTTGTGTGCGCTGCTTGAGACTCTCCCCGCCAATGGTCTTGTGTTACGTACTGTTGTTGCAATTTAGGCCTATTTCCCTATGCCTGAGTACGTCTCTCCGCCATTACAGACAGAAACTGTGAGCTACGATTTACACCAATAATTCTCGTGACAGCAAGCCACCACTATTAGAATAATGCCTTCTAGGAAGAGGTGAAAAAACCCTCTCCAAAGGCAGACTTGTTCACAGTGGCGGAGCCATAAATCATACATGGGGCAGCTATAAAGATTTAACTTCTAAAAATCGAGCTCAACTCGATCAACTAGTTAGGTCTCTCGTGGTGATCGTCTAGGTTAATTCAACGACTTGACACGTACATGTGACCGCATTTTCTTGTATGCGTATTCTAGGATTTAAAGCGCTATTCTTTCAGCGTGGTAGGTGATATGCCCGCTGACAGTAAGCCTATACGATGATTTCATAAATCTCGAGATCTAACGACATAATCTTTTTGAATGTGCTTATATGGTGATTTTATTATATAATTTTGTTTTGTATGATTTTATTATCTAGAAGATATTAGTAGGTGACAAGAATTTTGTTATATTCTCTCTCTTAATATACACAAAAATTTCGTAAAAAATATACATAAAAATTATAAAGTTATAGTAATAAAAAATGGTGTGATATGGGGGGATGGCCCCTGCCAGCCCCCCCTTGGCTCCGCCACTGGTTGTTGGTCACCTACCCCTTCAAGAGGTCTCTAATAAGAGATGTTTTACGGTGCTTGGGAGGAACCACCTGGTTCCTCTCTATGAAAATTTTCTCAGCTTAAATTATAACTAAGGGTAGCCTAGTAATTACAGCTTATTTCCCTTGTGGAGCACCCATCCGCCCAGTGCTCGTTGCTCGGCTCCAGGGCGTCGTCGGCGACTGGCTCGCCTCGCGCTTCTACCCTAGCTGATCCACCGCCGCCGCCCTCTTGCACTTCCTCCGGCTCTGCGCTTCATATGTCTGCAGCCGAGTAGAGTACCTCCAAGCTGACGCGGAACGATCCACACCGATCCGGACACCCCCAATCTGCTTGTGCTCTTGCCTGGCTTTCGAGATCCATGAATCGTTGGGATGGAGATCCCAAGCGAATCATCATATAGGCTTTCTACCGAGTTATTCATGATGGCAGCATTTATCTGTTAGAGATTTATTTTGTTAATTCAGTAACCAAACTGAACGAACTTTGTCTGATAATAAAGCCGAACATTTCATCGATCAAATACTGAACGCTGGTTAATGCTTGGGTTGTCGAACTAGCCTATTACCCAGACCCACTATGCCCGCAATGTTGCATGCTGTCAGCATCGTGTTCAGGGACTCCACGTTTCTCTGAGGCATCTGCTTGAACAACACTTCAGCTTCGTTCGTCGATGAGGTGGGTGAAGGAGCTCTTAACCAATTACTTCCGGACCAGCGCTCTGTAGAATATAATAGCCTGCAGATCGGGTGCGTTTGCGTCGCGCGTAAGCTCCCTAGGTGGCGAGCTGCTGTAGCCCGAGTGCCCGACGTGGCCGTGGGGTGACGCCGAGAAGACAGCTTGCTACGTGAAAGTATCATTTTACCCTCCACATTTTAACTAGAGCAGGTTCTTCCTCTTTCTTAACCATCCGATTTAGCGAAACATATGACTCTCATTATCTACAAACACTGTAAAAATTCTCCTCTAATAATCAATAATAATTCACAAGCCTCTGTGCCATTAATCCTGTATGGTCATTGCTACATCTATTGCTGTACCACGATCCCTCTACTCTGCATCGCGTAGTCCAGAAACTGTTACGAATCTTTCTCGAGTTGAGCTGCTAAATATT